CCTGCGATCCCAGCAGCTTGAGAGGCTGAGGGAGGCTGAGGCAGGAGGATCATAAGTTCAAAGCCAGCCTCAGCAATGGCCAGTGCTAAGCAACTCAGTGAGACCTGCCTCTAAATAAAATACAAAGTAGGGCTGGGATGTGGCTCAGTGGTCGAGTGTCCCCGAGTTCAATCCCTGGGACAGAGAAAAAGAGTGAAGTACAAAATCTTAATTAATTAGTAACCAACCAGAGGATACAAAGAAAACATTTGTCAAATAGCTCCTTACTAGGTTTTCTGTTTGGTGGGGGGAGGAGAGGATAATTTATTTTTCTTGAAGTTAATAATTAAGACAGTGTTGGATTTTTTTAGATGATATTAGCAGTGTCCTTGTATCCTCCTAGATTTATCCCCTAGATGATGGCTGCCAACTCTTAAATGTCTTATTCCCTGAATACTATGCTCACATTGCCGCTTGTTCATAGTGCAGCGTAAACATGGCCTGTCGGCCTTCTGTTGTGGGGATGAGATGGTTCCCTCTTCCCAGTGCTGGGGATTGGGCCCGGGGCCCATGCATGCTAGGCAAGCACTCTACTCGCAGCCCAACTCAGATTCTGTGAATGTTATTTTTGCAGAGTAATGTGCAGTTTCTTTTTGAAATTTCATTTTTTTCTAGAAATAATAAACACCTGGTTTAAATTTTTTGCTGACAGGATTTCCAGGTCCATGTCATGGATCTCTTTATCAATTTGTCACAGGTTCAGAAAGGGGATCTGTGAACTGCCTTTTACCCCCCAGAGCGTCCTTGCCAAAGTCCTCTCTTGCTCTCCTCTTTTTCCCCCTTTTGGCCTCTTTTCATTCTAGAATTTCCTTCCCTCTTCCACGTTCTTGGGGCCCATGTGTCCACTTGTTGGTTTTCTGTTTGGCTTTGCTGAAGCACAGCCCTCGGTTCTTCTAAAGTCCCCGTGAAAGGCTAGGTGTTCTGCCGTTGGTATCTGAAAGGATCCCTCTGACACTGATTGGTGGTTTGGCTGGATACATTTGGGGGATAGTTTTTTCCACAGAATGCGGAAGACTTGCTCTGTTGTCTGGGAATACAGGAACAGAGGAGCACCCTCTGCTGGGCCCACGATGAAGTCGGGGCTGGGTGGCCGTGTGCAGGCCTGCCAAGGTAGTCACGGACCAGAGGACACGCACAAGATGCAGGAGATGCGCAGAGGCCTTGCTGTCTTGGAGGGGTCGCGGTCCCGAGTGCCTGGGTCCTGTCAGCTCCTGGTGCTGTGGGGTACTAGGTACTAGACCCAGGACCTGCCCTCATGAGGCACGTGCTCCGCCACAGAGCTACACCCCCTGCCCCTGTCAGCTAGGCAACTCTATTATATATTCTGCTCTCTCTACCCACACCCTTGAGTCCGTGGTGGCTTGAGTAGGTCTCTGTGTCTTGTGACTAAATGCTCCTTAAGCCAAGCCCCCATTTTATCTCAGATGCACCCCCGCCTTTAGAATATAGCCAGATCTTAAGGAGAACTCTAAAGTAGGAGTTAGGAAGCCTAAACCCCACACCTGCACCTGTTTCTACCAGCCCCAGCCATTTATAATGACAGCTCTTCACCCCCAATAAAAATAAGATGGCCACTCCCAAGATTTTTTTTTTTTTTAGTTGTTGATAGACCTTTATTTATATGTGGTTCTGGGGTGCCTCACACATGCTGGCCAAGTGCGCTACCGCTGAGCCCCAGCCCCAGCCCAGACTTTTTGAATTAAAGACAATGAGATTTCCTTTGCATGAGTGTTTTGAAAAGTGGCACTGTCTGCCAGTGGGCGTGATGGCAAAGGACTGAGTGACAAGAAGGACCTTCCCCAAGATGGAGAGCACCTATCTCCAGCTGTCAGTCCTGCTCCCAGCCTGTCTGATGGCATCAGGGGTATTAGGGACTTACCTGTGACTACAACAGAGAAAAAATGGCCTTGAAGGTGCAGACCCAGTTTCTGGCTCCTGGCACAGCACTGGTAGGTCCCGCTGTCCGCTGGTGTGACTCTGTTGATGGTGTACACCAGCTGAGAGGACTTGTCACTGACATTGTCCACCTCGGGATCCCTCTTGGGTCTCAGCTGCTTCAGGCTGACCTCAGAGGAGCAGTTCCAAGATCTGTCTTTGCACAAAAACACGGTGAACCCCTCGGCTTCTTCTCTCTTGTGCCACAGCGTACAGACCAAGGTCAGCTGCTCTCCGTGCTGGGAAGCTGAGCTGGTGATGTGCAGGCCTCCTGGAAGGTGAAGAGCCCGTTACCCGGGGGGCCAGGTGAGCGGCTGGGGCCCACATGGCTGCTTCCATCGCGGGAGGTCTTTAGCCCCACCTAGCCGCTACCTGGGAGCCAAGAGACCAGCTCTGACTGACTGCAGGCCAGTTCCCTAGCTCCTGTGCAGTGAGCAGCGTGTGCACCTGGGAAGGGGAGTTCAGAGACAGTGAATCGGCTCAGTTTCCACACTGTGCACCGGGCCAGGGATGTGACGGACAAGGCGGGGGCTTCACCAAGAGTTACAGCCTGATACAGAAACAGATCAGCAGAGAATCCTAGCACACTCACTGTGATGGAGGGGTCTTAGAGAGTCTCGCATCTATCCAAAGAATCAGGAAAACGTCACCGAGAGGTTTTAGTCCTTGAGTTGAGACTTGGAGTAAGTGCCTGGGTCCTGTCAGCTCTTGGTGCTGTGGGGGTGCTAGGTGCTGACCCAGGCCTGCCCTCCACAGAGCCACACCACCGGTCATTGTCTATGAAATGGAAGGGTGAGGCAGAGGCCTCGGGCAGGAGAGAGATTGAAAAGTGGCCTTCCTGTGGACTAGAGCGAGGACCGACTGGAAAAGCAGACTGGTTATTGAGGACCATGGTTCTTTGCTGGTACCCATCTGCAGACTTGATGACCTCATCTCTAGGTGATCTACAGCGTGGACACAGAAGCGGAGAAGACAGACAGTGGGACGAAGCCGGGGTGCCCCTCTGGCCCCCCAGGTGCCTTGACCTGACTTTCCAGCCCACTGACCTGCCGCGCCTGTGTCCCTGCTCTCCTCACGTCCCTCCACGCAGTTCACACTTTGTGACCCAATGCTGCAGGCTCTTCTGTCCGCCCTCTGCTCCCTGAACCTTGATTCCTTTCAAAACCCAAGCGTTGACCACATTCAGCTCTGCTAAGAGTCCTCCAGACGGGTACTGACCTTGCTGCCTCCCCCCCCGGCCTGCTTCTCCTCGGTGGTGGCCGGGGTAAGCTAAGTCCACTCCCTTAGAAGAGCACTTCGCTGGGGCTGGGGCTGGGGCTCAGGGGTGGACACTCGCCTGGCATGCACGAGGCCCTGGGTTCAAACCTCAGCACCACAGAGACGTAGAATAAAGAGGGCACGTCCCCCTAAAACTGCAAGGTAAACATTTAAAAAGAGAACTTCAGCACCTACAGCCCCGAGGGAAGCCTGCGACCCCATTGATTCAGAAATGTATTCATTTCTATTCTCCAAATTGAACTTATGTAGGGTCTTTATTAGGATGCTTTCTTATACACCCCACCCTCCCTGTAGTCCTGGAGACAGGTGTCATTGTCACCCCGGCACAGGTCACGGGGTTGCTACACATGACAAGATTGTACCATGCGGGTTTCGAATCCAGATCTTATGAACGTGCAGCGTGTCAAAGCCCAGATACGAGGCTCTCTCGTCCACAGAGGGAAGGTGTCTGACAGAGAAGGCAGTGATACTAGTGCAAGTGAGGAAGAGTCAGGAAGAGTGGGCCCTTTTCACACACACACACACACACACACACACACACACACAGAGCAAAACTTGGCATCCTCCCGCCCCGTGAGCCCTGGGCTCCCTGAAGGCCCTCCCCCGCTCCTCACCCCCGGGCGGCATGTCCACAATCGTCAGCAGGATGACCAGGGCCCAGCAGCCTCTGCCAGGTGCCGCCAGTGTCCTCCACATTGTCAGCAGCCACGGGAACTTGAAGTTCATGACCGTCTTGCCCACGTCCTTGGCTGTGAGCTCCTGAAAGCACAGGGAACCCCTAGACGGAGCCTTCCGGAGCTTGAGGCCCGTCTCCCTGTTCCAGGCCCGCGTTTGGTGGGCCGCGGTGGAGGTGGAGGAGGGCCTGGGCATGGGCAGTCCCGCTGGGCCGGACGGGGGCCCAGCAGCAGAGCACACGTGAGGCCCTGGGTTCCATCCTCAGCACCACGTGGAATGAAGAAGTGAAGTCAAGTACGGTGTCTATCTTTAAAAACGAGTCTAGTGGCCTGGAAGTGGACCACAGATCCACCAAGGTGTGTCGGAGAGAAGAGGGGGGCAAGAGAGAGGCCCAGGGTCACACCCATGCCTCTGCTCACAGAGTGGTTTTTTCCCAAGTTAAATTGAATTTCTGGATCAAAGAATATGCACACTAAGTCTTTTTCCACCCCAATCATCTTGCTCTCCAAAAGCTGTTGATATTTAGATGTTCACCAGGAATGCTTGATAGTGTGCATCTGCTCACGCCCTTGCCTGTGCTGGATTTATTTGTATTTTACATTTTTTTTGCCAATCTGAAAGATGAGAAATTAGATCTTACTGTGGTTTTATTTGCATTTCCATGATGGTGAGGTTGAAGATCTTTTCATGTTTATTGGTCACTAGTATTTCCTCTCTTATTAATTGCATGTTCATATTTTTGCATTTTTGTAAAGCTCAACTTTTAGGCGTTTTCTCTATGTTAGAGATATTAATCTAGCTGCTATTTTTTTCCTTTGGTACTGGGCATTGAACCCAGGGACACGTAACAGCTGAGCCACATTCCCAGCCATATCCGTCTTTTATTCAGAGGTGTCTCGCTGAGTTGCTTAGAATCTCTTTTTTTTCAGTCCTGGGAACTGGGACCAGGGGTGCTCTACCACTGAGCTAAATTTCCAGCCCTTTTTATTTTTTATTTTGAGACAGGAGCTCATTAAATTGCCAAGGCTGGCCTTGGACTTGTCATCTTTCTACCTCTGCCTCCTGAGTAGCTGGAATCTGAAGCATCGCCACCACACCTGGCTGAACTTTTAAAAACTGACACATGGGCTGGGGTATGTAGCTCAGTGGCAAAACGTTTCCATAGCAGACTGAAGGCCCTAGGTTCGATCCTCTGCACTACAAACAAAAAACATAGAGAATAAGAAAACTGGACATGCGATCATTGTCGGCATTTATGAGTATGGGAGTGTTAATACAGCAAATGTGTGATGATCAAACCAAGATAACCCGCATTCCCAGCTCCACAACAATCTCTTTGCATTGGGGATCTTAAAACTCCTCTCTCCTAGTTCCTTATTAATATATGACATGTACAGCGTTTGTGAGACGCATTATTAGATATAGGATGCATATGTAGAGGGATGTATTTTATAGACACATTATTGCAGCCAGTTACCTGCTGTGCTGGGGACCACTAGGACCTCCTGTCTAGCTCTATTTTGGTACCCAGTATGCAACCTCCTTGGGTCTTCCCTCCCCTTTCATGGCCTTCGTGACGACTATTCTACTCTGTTTCTATAAATTCAATATTAAAAACATTTCCTGCCAATTCTTTCTTTGTCTCTTGTTTATAGTGCTTTTTTTTTTCTTAAAAATTTACACTTGTATGTAGTGTTAAGTGAACATTTCTTTTTAGTTGCCCGAGTTTCCGATATTGTTTAAGAAATTTCCTTTGGCTTAAGGTCATTGTTTTCTTCCAATATTTTTATTGTTTTACTTTTTAGTAGATGTGCTGCTGAAGTGAGCACCATTGTTTACCTTTATTTATGTATTCATTTTTGGTGCTAAGGATGGAACCCAGGGGTGCTTGAACACTGAGCCACATCCCTGCCTGTTTTTGTATTTTGAGGTGGGGTCTCACTAATTTGCTTTCAGCCCAGCTGAGGCTGGCCTTGAATTCTCATCCTCCTGCCTCAGCCTCACAAGCCTCTGGGGTTACAGGTGTGCGCCACTGTGCCTGGCTACGTTTTATATTTATATCTTCTAATGGCCACTGTGAAAAACCACACCCGCATCAAAAAACACAAACTGAAAGACAAGACAAAAACCCTGGGTGTCATCAATAGGAAGATGATCAAGAATATCATGCAGCCCTATGCCCACGACTCTGTTTCGGTTCCCAACGGGTGGCCTGTCCTTTATAAGGGGTGTGGGAGAGGGACAAGCTGCAGAAAAGCAAGGCAAAGGGGACTTTTTGGCGGGTCCTGGAGATGGAACCCAGGGGTGCCCGACCACTCGCCCACGTCCCCTGTCCTTTTTGTTTTGAGACAGGGTCTTGCTAAGTTGCCGAGGGCTTTGCTGAGTTGCTCTCAAACTTGCAATCCTCCTGCCTCAAGCCCCCAAGTCACTGGGATCACAGGTGTGCGCCGCCACCCCCAGCTCAGAAGAGGAAACCGAAGGAGAAGGGAAAAACTCAAAACGAACCCACAGTCAAGGGTTGAGAAGAAGCTTTGTGGACTCAGAAAGCTCCTGAAGAGGTCTGGAAGCTCGACCCCAACCCCAGAACCTCGCCATTAACAGAGAAGCACGTGCATGGCGCACCGTCCGCTCACGGCAGGTTGATGGTGAACAAAGGAGCGATCCAAGCCACCGCGGGCACGTGACTGAAGTGACATCTCCAGGAGGAAGGCCTCAGGGAGTCCTTCAGGGTGGTCCCAGAGAGAGGCAGTGCCCCCCAGGAGACCACAGTCCCCTACGGGGAGGAGACGCGCGGTGGAGGACAGTGACCCTGCTGGCCCTGACCTTGGTGGGCTAGGCCAATGGGGGCTGTTTTTTGTGGTGCCGGGAGGGAACCCAGGGCCTCACGCGAGCTAGGCGGGTGCTCCACCCCTGAGCCTCAGCCCAGCCCTGGTTTTTTTGTTTTTTTAACAGAAGAGACGTTTTTAAACATTTGAAAATAGGAAAAGGCTTAGAGAATATGGATCTGTTTCATACAGTGGTACAATGGGTTTGTGTTTTAAGCTAAGTTTTACGAGTCAGATTTTAAAATTCAGTCCATGATGTAAAAATGTTGCCGTCAGCTAAGGCTGATTGATCATCGAGGAAGCAAGGGCTGTCAGTGTGAGTGGCCAAGGTGACAGTGTCATAGAGTTGACTGCAGTGTGCAACGGTGGCCCGCCCTGCACCAGCACAGCTCACTGCTCCAGCCCATCCCAGGAGGAGGCGCTGTGTTCTCCACCTCACATCCTGGGCTCGGCTGCTGCTCAGGGTGCAAGGCTGCTATTGTGCACTTCGCCTTCACACTCGGACCTTCCCTCACTCAACCCTGTCATTTGCCAGACTCTTTCCGCTGATCCTCTTGGGTTTTCCAGTTGTACATTATGTCATTTGTGAGTGATGATCGCCTATTTTATATCCTGATTTCGTTCCTCTGATTGTGTTGGTTCCTGTCTCCAGGAAGTGTTGACTGAGGGTGGTGTACTGACCCTCAGTCTTTTTTTCCTGATTTACTGTTGGATGTTTTGGTTGTTTCCTTGTGAACCATGATGCTAACTGTGGGGATGAGAAATATTCTGTTGTGTTAAGGAATATTCCTTTTTTAACATTTTTTTGCAATACCTTTATTTGTTTATTTTTACGTGGTGCTGAGGATGGAACCCAGGGCCTCGCACGTGCCAGGCAAGCGCTCTGCCACTGGGCCCCGGCCCGGCCCCCTTAAGGAATATTCTTTACTTCTAGAGATTAAAAATATCAAGAATGGGTGCTGAATGGTTTTAGTCGCCTGTAAACATCAACTAAAATGACCACAGGATTTTTCTTTATAGACAGGTGAGTATGATGACCAATGTTGATGGGTTTCCTCAAGTTGACAGTCATGCAATTCTAAATAAAGACACAAAAAACCCAAAATTATTTGCTCATGGCATATTACTCTTTAACTACACTTCTGAATTCTGATTTATAATAGTTAAACTTTTACTTCAACAAGACTGACTTTTAAAATTTTGGGGTTTTTTTAGTAGAATTTTAGAATAAATGTCATTCTTACTTTAGAAAAAGATTTTGGGGGGCTGGGGCTCTACTCAGTTGCTAGAGGGCTTGCCTAGCATCCACAAGGCCCTGAGTTTAATCCCCAGCACCACCACCACCAAAAAAAAAAAAAAAAAAAAAAAAAAAGATTTTGAAATCATCTGTTCTTTATAGATTTAGTAGAATTCTATAGTGACGTTCTCTGGCCCCGATGCTCCTGTGAAGTTGGACCTTGATGACTTTTCTCTACTCCTGTTTGGTAATTAGTCGTTAAATATTTTCTCTTTACTGGGACCAGTTTTCGTTAATTATAAGTGTGTGTGTGTGTGTGTGTGTGTGTGTGTAAGAAAATTATCTGTTTAATTCCCAATTTGTATTCATGAAACTGAGAAATGAGTCCGTTTTAATTGTATAAACTTCCTCTGCGGCTGGGCTGGGGCTCAGGGGTGGGCTCTTCCCGGCACGTGTCAGGCCTGGGTTCCATCCTCAGCACCACATGAAAATAGGCTGAATAAAGGTCTCTGACAACCAAAGTATCAAAAAAAAAAACAACTTCCTCTGCATCTGTGGCTTTTTAAAACCTTTTGTTTTCTGTATTTGTGCTTTCTCTTCCTTTTTTTTCTTGATTACATTAGTTAATTGTCTTTTTTTTGCTTTTTTTCCCCTGAATAAATAGCTCCTTTTACTTATTACTTGTACCGTTTTCTGTTTTCTTACTTATTGATTTCCACATTTCACTGTTAACTCCTATCTTTTGCTTTCTGAAGATTTAAGTTTTTCATTTTCTAAATTCCTGAGTTAGATACTTTATTTTCATTTTTCAGTGTGAAAAGCACTTAATTTTTCTTTTGTGATCACTTAAACTGACTCTTACAGGTTCTGGTATGGAATATTTTCCGTTTACCATTATTTCCTAGCTATTCCAGTTCTCTTTTTAGATCCTCTTTGAACTAAGGGAGTGTTCTGCAGCTGCCTGCTTCTGGTTTTGTTATTAGTCTCATTCATCATGGCGGGAGACTTTTGTCACATA